ACAGGGTGGTAGCACAATGAAAATGTATCTTTTCTTTTACAGGGTGGTAGCACAATGAAAATGTATCTTTTCTTTTACAGGGTGGTAGCACAATGAAAATGTATCTTTCTTTTTAAGTTATTGATTTGATCTTTCATTCATATATCACAATAGGCCCGGCATGGCCAGGTGGTTAGGGTGCTTGATTCGCAATCTGCGGGTCGCGGGTTCAAATCCCTCGTTCTACCAAACATACTCGACCTTTCAGCCGTGGGAGCATTATAATGTGACAGTCAATCCCATTATTCATTGGTAAAAGAGTAGCCCAAGAGTTGGCAGTGGGTGGTAATGACTAGCCGCCTTCCCTCTAGTCTTACACTGCTAAATTAGGGACGGCTAGTGCAGATAGCCCTCTTGTAGCTTTGCGCGAAATTCCAAACAAACAAACAAAAAAAAAAAGATCATCACTACGTAATAGCAACGTTAATTACTTTCAGTCTGTTTAACATTTTAAAGGATTTCAGTATTTATTTAAACATAATTTTCAGGAACTTTAGGAGTTATTACAGAAGTTACTCTAAAAGTCCATCCAATACCTGAATGCAAGAAATATGGATCAGTGATTTTTCCTTCATTTGAACCAGGAGTAAAGTGTCTAAGAGAAATAACTAGACAGGTAATTTGAAGCCACACATTAATTCATGTAAATAACTAAGTGGACATTTGATCAGGGTTGTACATAATGTTCTATTGAAAAGTTTCGTAACAGACTTTAATCATTAACACTTTCATAAGTAAAAAATAAAAATACTCATAACATTCTTTCATGTTCCTAAACTTTATTCTTTAATGAATGTGGCTAAAAAAAAAGATCTGTATAACTTTTACAATTCCTTGTAGAGAACATTTAGCCCTTGAACTAATATGGCCAGTATGATGGAAAAAACAAGTATTTAAACATATGCTTGGTATAGATAGTTATTACTACTATTATTATTATTAAATACATTATACAACCAAAAGTCATGGGACACGGGTAGTTATGAATAAAACATGTCTTATCACGTTAGGTGTACAAGTTCGAAATGACTTCTGAGTGAACCACTGATCACCTTTATAGGCCAAACTATTCGCATATTTCGTTATCACACCCAATTTTCTGCAATCAGAGATGTGTCCCATGACTTTTGTAGGATAGTGTAGATGGAAGGTGTGGATAGCTATTGTTGTTGTTAAATGGATGGAAGTTGTGGATAGCTATTGTTGTTGTTAAATGGATGGAAGTTGTGGATAG